CCAGAGCTCAAGGGGGTGCTCACCAAACCCGAGATGTCGCTCTTGCCGGAGGCCGAGTGGCCCGAGTCGCCCCCGAAGGCAAAGGTCAACGTCGAGAAGCTGGAGGACTGGTCTTTGTGGCCCGCGGCCGTCGCTCCACGAGCGGTTTGTTTGCTGCGGCGAAGTCGGGGGCCCCAGCTGAGGGGGAGGCCAGAGTGACACGATTGATTTTCAACATGGTCCCGACGAATACGTACCTTCGACCGTTGGCGGGGGACTCGGTGGCTCTGGTACCCTCGCCGGCGCGGGTAAGCATCTCCTTTGGCCCCGAGGAGGTGCTGCTCTGGAGTGGGGACGACCAGAAGGGAGCTTTCTTCATGTACCGCACCCCTGCGCCGCGGCTGGGCTACATGGCGATTTGCACCCCAATCCCCGGCCATGTTCTTGGCGTGAAGGCCAAGGAGGTGTGGCTGGCCATGACGGTGCTGCCCATGGGCTGGGTGTACAGCGTCCCCATTTTCCAGAGCGTCCACCGGCGGGTTGCGCTACTGGGTCGCCCTGCTGGCGCCGCCCTCCCAGCTGACCTGGAGTGGCGGCGCGACCGTCCTATCCCCGCCGCTGCAGCTGCTCCCCTGTCTCATGAGGGCCCTCGCGAGTGGTGGAGCGCGTACATCGACGACTTCGATAACTGCGAGACGGCTGGATGCAAGGAGGCGCTCGCGCAGGTGGGCTCTCCTGGCCGCCTGCAGGCCCAGATGAGGGAGAGCTACCAGCGGAATGCAATCCCCATCAGCGTGGACAAAGCCAACCAGAGGCCAGAGGCAGCTCTTGGTCACGCGGATGGGTGTAGAGGTGGACGGGATCTTAGGCAGGGCCGCCAACAATCGGATAAAGAACGTGCAGCTGTACAGCCTTACCATGTGGCTCCTGACGAGAGAGAACCCCCTCGGGAACCAGCTCCTGATTCTCATGGGACGCTGGGTGAGGGCGCTAGAGTTTCGACGTCCTCTCTTCGGGGTGTTCAACTCGGCGTGGGAGCAGATTGGCTCGGGCCGTACTGTGTCGACCAGAGCCAGCCTGGACGAGCTGATGCACAGCTGCCTGCTGATGCCCCTCGCCTCCGCCAACCTGAGGGCCGCTACCACGGGCATCGTCTCGTGCCCTGACGCCAGCGAAGACGGTGCAGGTATGTGCACGGCCGTGGGGCTCGCAGAGGGGGCCGCGAAGTTCCTGGCATCTCTCGGGAGCCCTGAGACCTGGGGCCATCGCATTGCCAGCTACACCGGCTCGTGCACGATCGAGCCGACCAGGATCGCCCCAGGGGCTCCGCCGCGCGTCCTGTTGGTGAGCTTGTTTGACGGCATCGGCGGTGCTGCTGTGTCGCTGGTGCGCTCTGGTTTTGACATCGTGGGCTACATGGGCAGCGAGGTCGATAAAGGGGCTCGCCGGGTGCTGAGATCGCGCTGGCCTGGCCTGATCGAGCTGGGCCCAGTCGAGGAAATTCACGACCGACAGCTTGAGGCTCTGGCCATGCTCCAGGATCGGATTGTCGCCGTGGTCGTTGCGGGAGGCAGCCCATGCCAGGACGCGAGCGGTGTGAACGCCGACCGGCAGGGCGCACATGGCGCTCGGAGCGGCCTGTTCAAGCGCATGCCCAAGGTGGTGAGCGCACTTGCTCTCGTCATGACGGTGCCTGTCCATTGGCTCGCGGAAAATGCACTCTCAATGAGCGCAGAATCCCTCCAGGAGCTCTCCCGCATCCTCCAGACTAGGCCCGTCAGCGTGTGCAACTCTTTCTTTACCGAGAATAGAAGGCCACGATTGCACTGGTTGTCTTGGAGAGAGGCGGTCCTCAAGCTCCCCGGGGCGCACGTGGAGCCCAAGGCCAACTGCGACCTCATCAGGGCGCTCCAGGCCCCGAAGGCTCCTGCAAGCTCTTGGGTTGCCTCATGGTGCTCCAGGGCCTCGGACAAGGGCCCAGTCTGCACGTTTCTCCAGCGGCGGGAGAAGACTGCCCCGTACAAGCCTGCAGGTTTATCGACAGCAAGCCCAGAGGCCATCCAGAGGTGGACCCAGGACCTGCACGCGCACCCTCCGTACCAGTACGAGCTAGTTCACATGATTCGGGACTCCATGGGGGACTTGAGGCCTTTGTGTGCCGCGGAGAAGGAGGTGCTCATGGGATTACCTCGCCACTACTCGTCGTCCGTAGCCAGCTCGGGCTCCAGCCGTGGCAGCGTTGAGAACGATCGCTGCAGCCTCTTGGGGAACGCGTTCGCCTGCTGCGTCGTTAGCTGGCTGTTCCTCGGTCCGAGGTGCCAGTTGGGCTGGCCCGTCAGGGCGACCGACCTCGATGGGGGTCACGACCGAGTTGGAGGTAAAGGACTTACTCGACGAGTCGGTGGAGTTCTCGAAGGACCCCATCAAGGAAACCTCCATCGGCCGCAAGCTGGTCGAGATTTTCTGGACGATTGCCGAGAAGTCGGGGAGCGACATCCGCCTCGACCTCGGTGTGCCTTTCCGCCCCAAGGCGTGGCCGCGATTCTCGATTGACCCGGCGCTGTGGCGCTGGCGGCCGACGCTGTCCTTCCCGTGGCCGAAGTCGTCGAGGGAGCTGCATATCAACGCGCTCGAGTTGAAGGCGGTGAACGCTTCCTTGCGGCACAGGGCTCGCATTACCTCGTTCAGGAGCGCGAAGGTTCTGCACCTTGTCGATGCCCAAGTTGCGGCCTCGATGCTGACCCGCGGCCGCACGTCATCGGGGATGCTTCGAGGACTCGCTCGACAGTGCGCTGCTATACTCGTCAGCTCAGACTTGTACGTGGGCGTTGGGTATATCAATACCAAGCTCAACCCAAGTGATCGGCCGTCCAGAGAGTTCTTGACTAAGAAATGGCGCCGAAAAGGGTCCAAGTGACAGCTCGCGGCGGCAGGCGTCGCAGCTGGTTGCATGTGCGTTCTCAATTCAGCAAGCGAGGCACGCGGTTGCGCGACCTACAGGTCACTAGAGCCACGCGTGATCGGCATGTTCGATGTGCCGGTCGCCTTTTTGCGTGGTGGAAGGCGCGCAGTGTGAAGCTGTCCTCGCTCAACGACGTGGACAAAAACCTCAGCTTGTACATAGAAGCGTGTTGGGCAGAGCTGGAGCCGCTTTACCTGGTGGTCAATGCGACAGCGGCTTTGCAGTGGATGATGCCCTCCTTGAAGGGCAACCTGCAGCAGAGTTGGAGCCTGGTGCGAGCGTGGGAGAGGCAGTGCACGCCTTGTCGGGCGACAACGTTTTCGGCCGACATGGTCCTAGCCTTGGCAGCTGCAGCGTGGGACCTCGGCTGGGAAGGTCTGGCGACCGTGATGCTCGTCGGTTTCGACACTTTCATGCGCACAGGCGAGCTGCTGGCTCTCAGGCGGCGGCACATCCTTGTCAAAGGTGAGCGGGCAGTTATTCACATCGAGGCCTCAAAGATGGGACTGCGATCTGGTTTTTCAGAAATGGTTTCTCTCAAAGACGGAGTGTCTCGAAAGATCTTAAAATACAGATGCATGTAGCTGGGGTCGGAAGATCTGCTGTGTGGAGCGACGGCGCCTGAAGTTCGAAAGCAGTTGTCCTGGTTGCTTCAGATGTTCGACCTTCAGGACCGAGGGCTCACAATATACAGCCTTCGCAGAGGAGGTGCGACCGCCCACTTCACCCGCCATAGAAATATGGAGTATACTCTTCAACAGGGCCGGTGGGGCGGCACGAAAGTAGCCAGAATGTACTTGTCGCAGGCAGTTGTTGATGCCGTCGCTCTCACCCTTCTGCCTAGCACCAAGGATAGAATTCGAGCTGCCGCTCTCCGCTGGAAAGATATTTTAAGACAGCTGAGGTTGTAAGACTTGAATTGTAAATTCGCTCCAGTGGTACCTTACCCGATGGCATCAGTTTAAAATAGGACGGCAGAGCCACAATAGGGGGACGTGGAAGGCTCTCGATGGGGTGGCCCCGGGGATTTAACACGTTAAACTGTGTTTCCTGGTGTTTGCGGGGCCCATTGTACTCGGCGGGCTGCCTTACCCTCTAGGGGTCAGTGCGTCCGGCGAGCCAAGCTCGCTGGCTAGCTCGCTGACCTGCTGGAGGGTGCTGGTGCTCGCCGTGTATGGGCCCCTGCCAGGTCCCGGTGGCCGTTTCTCCTCGAGTGTGCTTGAGCCTCGTGCACTTTGAACCTGTGGCGGCGCGACGCCCAAAAAGAGGAAACGCCAAACATGTAACATAACACTCTCGGGGTTGGGCGTATGTTTGGACCTCTTAGGCAAAGCGCCGCCGTCGAGCAAGCAGGTGATTTAGTGTTCGCCCGACGGGCCTCGGGAGAGCTCAGGGTGAACACTCCTTCGCTCGATCGTTCCGTAGGTGTACGGCTCAAGCGGCCCTCCGTCCATCCCCAATTCTGCCACCTTTTAGGTCAGGCTCTCGAGGGGTGGCCCCGGGGGTTTAACACGTTAAACTGTGTTTCCTGGTGTTTGCGGGGCCAATTGTACTCGGCGGGCTGCCTTACCCTCTAGAGGTCAGTGCGGCTGGCGAGCCAAGCTCGCTGGCTAGCTCGCTGACCTGCTGGAGGGTGCTGGTGCTCGCCGTGTATGGGCCCCTGCCAGGTCCCGGTGGCCGTTTCTCCTCGAGTGAGCTTGAGCCTCGTGCACTTTGAACCTGCGGCGGCGCGACGCCCAAAAAGAGGAAACCCCAAACATCATCATCATCATCATCATCATCATCATCCTCCTCATCATCATCATCATCATCATCATTATCATTATCATCATCATCACCATCATCATCATCATCCTCATCATCATCATCATCATCCTTCCTCCTCTTCCTTCCTCCTCCTTTTCCTTCCTCCTCATTCCTCCTCTTCCTCCTCCTCCTCCTCTACGACGACGATGGCGACGAGCACGGAGCACGGCGCCTCCGACAGATCGTTGGAGCTCTTTGGGCCTGACGTCCTCGGTGCCTTCGGCGTCGGCGCGCTCGGCCCCGACGGACCGAGGCCCGCGGCGGAGGCGGGCGCCGTCGTCGCGGAGGAGTGCCTCGCTGGCGCGGCGCGCCGTGCGCCGCGCCGCGCGGCGGCCGGCCCCCCAGGCGACCGACGACGACGGACGGCGGACGGTGGACGGCGAGGAGGAGGAGGAGGAGGAGCAGGAGGAGGACGGGGAGGAGGAGGAGGAGGACGAGGAGGAGGAGGAGGAGGAGGAGGAGGAGGAGGGCGGGGAGGAGGAGGACAGCAGTCGACGCCTGGTCGACCCCTCGACACCACTTTTGCAGGGCAGGGGGGGAGGAGGAGGAGGAGAACAGTGGACGCCTGGCTTGCACCCTCTTCAGGGCAGGGAGGAGGAGGATAACGAGTGTAAGCCCAAAACGCATCACCGCTGTTGCCATAAACCTTGCTTCCAACATCCTCCCATTTTCTCCGAGGGAAGCGCCCCGTTGGAACCAAACCGATTGAAAAGCGTGAACTGCACCAGAACACCATCCATGGGATTTCAAAGCCGCAAATCACCGTTGCCTTGTGGGAATTCAAAATCGCGAATCAACGTAATCTGTGCCCCCTGACAGGCCGACACTGGGCCAAAACACTACTTGTGGGACGCTAGTCATGAGAATCATTGAAACTGCTGCAGACTCTTCAAAGACATGTACGCGACGCATAGGCGAGAGCCGCAGATTGAAGAGGAACCGTTTTCCATCCGTCCATCATGTGTGGTAATATTTTAAACGAGTTCGCGCGATGCGAAGGCGAGAGCCGCATTTTGAACAGGAGCCGCCCCCCGTCCGTGAAACTCTTGCACACTTTGAAGACGAATGTTTACTGCGTCGAGGCGAGAGCCACATTTTGAAATCCGCCCGCCCTCTATCCGTGTAGCTGTTGCACATTTTCAGCTTAAGGGTCATACATTGTTGGGAAGGCTCCAGCGAAACGCCCGGCCCGCCCTACCGACGCGCTCGGGGTGCGACAGGGAGGATTTGTTTATGGAAAGGGAATGGAGAAGGAGGAGGAGAGGAGGAGGACGACGACAACGACGACGACGACGAGGGCCCAGACATGCTGGCTTCGTGAACAGAACCACGTTCGACAGTTTTTGGACCGTGTTTGGTCTCCTTGGGCCCTCGCCGGGCTTCGGGACCGTCAGAAAACGAGTCGGGGGGGAGAACCGGCCCCAGGGAAGGGGATCGGGATTCCTGGGGACCCCATATGGAAAAATCAAGGCATCGCATGTCTGGGGAAAACGCCAAAGACGAGGCCGCCGATGTCTCGAAGAAGAAAAACTGCATGAGCATACACTTTCGGAGTCCCGCGCGGATTACTTGGATCGATGTTGGGTCCCATGGCACGCGGAGGGCGCCGGGGACGGGGTGCATCGCTGATCCAAGGAATTCGCGGGGACCTCCGAACGTTCTTCTCTCAATGCCTGGCACGAGGGCGTGGCGTATACACCGCTGCTGGTAACCGGAGCAGCGCAAGGAAGCGCGAAATATGTGGCAAAGTCGTCACGGTGAAGGCGAAGCTGACCAAGACCATCGTGCAGGCCTTCCTTCGGAATGCTCTCCAGAACGAGTTCTGAGGGCCCCCTGGGACAGATAGCAATACTGCCGGCGCGCCCATTCGTCAGGGATCTAGAAGCTTTCAGCCCACCTCGCTACCCGTCCTGGGCTGTACCGTGCTGTTGCCGAAAGAGATTGTTTTTTATCCTCTGGGGGGTAACGCTCGTTACCCGGGCCTCTCCCCCCCCCCCCCCCGTAACGGTAACGCTCGTACGCGGGGGGGGTCTCGGTCTTCCCCTCCAACATGCTGGTGCCGGGACCACGCGGCGGGCTTTGCGCTTGTACTCGAATCGCAAGCCACTGTGGTGCTCTCAGGCAGAGAGTGCTGCTCGCGCGCATACTATGGCGATCGCAGAGCGCCCCTGCTTCGCCATACCCCGCCCAGCCCAAGCGTTACCGTTACCCGGGGGGCACGACCCCCCCCCCCCCTGGGTAACGAGCGTTACCGGCCGGAATAAAAAAATGATCTCAAAACTTGCTGGGGTTGCAGGGAGGAGGATGCAACGCCGATCCAAGAAACCCGCGCGGACCTCAGAAAGGCCACGTTGATGCAGCTTCTCCTTCCACTTTCTCTCCTCATTGATTTTCTTCTTCGTTTTCTTCTGATGCCTCCGCCGCGCTAGTGGGCAGCCAGCCCACGGGGCGACGGCCCAGGGGCGGAGCGTTTTCCCGCTTCGACCTCCTGGACAACGACGTCGTCCAGACCCTCACATCAGGGCGTCGCGACAGAGCTCGTGAGGGCAGGCTTTTCGACGTGTTGTGCCTCGTGTAGGCCGTTTCGCGGCCGTCAAAACACGATTTGGGGGAAAAGACTGGGCGTGGGGAAGGGGTCGCAGCCCCCGTGATCGTTTCGGAGGCTCTCGTCCCAGATGAGGAGTAGGAGGAGGAGTAGGAGGAGTAGTAGGACGACGAGGAGGAGGACGATGATCTCTCGAGCCATGACGCTGCAGCTTGCCTAGCGTCAAAAGGAGGAGGAGGACGGGGAGGATGGGATCGGGATCGGGATGGCAAGTGTCGGCCGGGGCCGCGCCGCGTGGCGACGTGCAGCTCACTTGCGCATAAACTCGAAGATGTCACTGTTGTGCAGACAATTGACCATTCACCATGGATTCAAGGGGATCTCCAAGAATGTTTGTCCTGGGCGGCATATTTTAATTGTTTGGCTTTAGCTTAAACGGTAGGCTTTCTGGGGCCCCAGGATGCGGGGGTTTCTCCTCTGGGTCTCCCTTGCTCCCTGCTCCTGCTCTCTGCTTGCCTTCTCTCTCCCTCTCGCTCCCACTCAAGCTCCCTGGGGTTCAAGCTGGGAGCTGGCCTCAGGTGGCCCAGAGGCCAGGGCATCCCGGAGGCCCACTCCGGGAGCCCGGAAGATCCAGGGATTCCGGGAGGTGCTCACGCGGGGCCATGCCGCCGCGCGGGGCGCCCCGCGGCTGGGGGGCGGCGGCGCTGCCGCCACTGGCCACTGCCGAGCAGAGCGGGGAGGGGCTGCGCCGCGCGGCGTCGGCCACCACCTGCCGCACGGCACTGGTGGCAGCCACTGCCCGCCCCACTCCCGCGGCGGACACAGGGCGCCCCATGGCTGGGGGGCGGCGGCGCGCGCGTTGCCGCCGCCTGCCGAGCAGGAGCGCACGCGCGGCAGGGCCATGCCGCCGCGCGAGGCGCTCCATGGCTGGGGGGCGGCGCTCCTGCCGCGACTGGCCAGAGCCGCGACGAGCAAGGGGGAGCCTCAGCTGCACGGCGTCGGCCCCCAGCTGCCGCGCAGCGCTGCTGGCAGCCACCGCCCGCCCCCGCGGCGAGCGCGGGGCCGCCGGCCGGGCCCGACGGCGCTGCCCAAGCGCGCGCTGACAGCGACTGGGCTGCTGCTGGGCGAGACCCCCGCGGCGGCTTGGAACTGGCCCCACCTCAGGGGAAGCCCACGCGCGGCCTGGCCACGCCGCCGCGCGGGGCGCCCCGCGGCTGGGAAACGGCGGCACCGCCGCCACCAGCCGCCACCACGCAGGGCAGGGAGGTGCGACGCCGCGCGGCGCTGGTTATCGGCGCTGCCGGCAGCTCGCCTGCCTTCCCTGACGGCGGCCGGCTAGGCACAAATGTGCGCTCTCGCGCGCGCCGACGGCGACTGGGCTGCTGCTGGGCGGAAATCTCACGGCGACCCGGAGCCAACCCCACCGCAAGCTGGCCAGCGGCACAGAAGACTGGATCTTCGTCGAGGAGAAGGACGAAAAGGAGCATGTGGGAGGCTGGGGCCGCCGCGGCACCGTCCCCGCGAGGTGGTACCTGGACAGGAGCGTTTGGGTGCGACGAGGCCGGGGCCCGACCCGGGCCAAAGGGGGTGCGCACAGCTAGGGCCCCTTCCCACCTCCCGGGAGTGCCGCCGGCGCTGGGGCAGGCGAGCAACCATGCCGCCAGCTCCGCCAGGCCGAGCACCATGTGGGTACCGGCGCCGACAACACCAACCTCAGCGACGCGGGCTTCTCGTCTTCGGGGAGTGCCGCCGGCGCTGGGGCAGGCGAGCGACCACGCCGCCGCCTCCGACGCGGACTTCTCGTCTTCGGGGAGTGCCGCCGGCGCAGGGGCAGGCGAGCAACCATGCCGCCGCCTCCGCCAGGCCGAGCACCCTGTGGGCACCGGCACGGACAACACCAACCTCAGCGACGCGGACTTCTCGTCTTCGGGGAGTGCCGCCGGCGCTGGGGCAGGCGAGCAACCATGCCGCCGCCTCCGCCAGGCCGAGCACCCTTTGGGCACCGGCACCCAGAGCTTCAGCAACGCGGAGGTCTTCATCGGCCACTCCTTGCCTTCCCCCCCCCTGGTCCTCCTCCCGCGCCTTCTCCGCCCCCTCCCCCCTTCGGGAACAACAGCGAGTGAGCTTGGGGAGTGCGGCAGAAACTGCGGCGGGGGCGACGAGGCGGACGACGAGCAGGAGGAACAGGACTATCAGGTGTACGGCGGCTTCCAGGCCCTGGAGCACGACGCCACGGAGTGGGCAAAAAGTGCGAAGCGAAGGAGAGAGGAGGACGAGGAAGTGGAGCGAGTGGCATTCAGAGAAGCCAGCTGCGACGATGGCCCTGGCCATACCGACAACGGCGTCAACAGGATCTCCGACGACCGCGCCGACGCCGGCACCCGCGAGTTTTCCGACGGCTACACCGACGACTACGCCGACAGCAACGTCGACGATGTCTCCGCGTGCTCCGCCAACGGCCACGCCGGCCTGAGGCCCGACGGCTGCGCGGACGGCCATGCCGACATCGGCGTCGACAGGGCCCGCGGCGGCTGCGCCGTCGGCCGCGCCGACGACGGCGCCGGCGAGGTCTCTGACAATTCCGTCGATGGCCACGCCGACAGCTTCTGCGCCGAAGGCCGCGTCGACAGCAGCGCCGCCGAGGTCTCCGACGGCTGCGCCGCCGGCCACGCCGACAGCAAAATCGGCGACGTCGACCGCCGCCCCGAGTGCTACGCCGACGGCCACATTAACGTCGGCACTGACACGAGGTCCGACGGCTGCGTGGGCGACCACGCCGACGGCAGCATCGACAAGGTCTCTGGCTGCTGTGCCGATGGCCGCGCCAACGCTGGCACCTGCGAGGTCTCCGACTGCTCCGTCGCCGGCCCCGCGGACAACGGCGTTGGCAAGGTCATCACGTGCTGCGCCGACGGCCGCGTCGACGACAGCATCGCCGAGAGTTCCGCCTGCTGCGCCGCCGGCCACGCCGCCGACGGCAGCGTCAGCGAGGTCCCCGTTCGCTGTTCTGGCGGCCGCGTCGACAGCAGCATCGCCAAGGTTCCCGATGGCAGCGCCGACAGCTGCGTCGACAGCAGCATCGCCGAGGTTTCTGACGGCCTCGCTGGCAGCCGAGCCGACAGTAGTGCCGACCAGGTTTCCACCTGCGGCGCCGACGGCAGCGCTGATGGGGCCCCCGACGGATGCGCCTACAGCCACACCGACAGCAACGTCAACGAAGTCTCAGAGTGCTACGCCGACGGCCACGCCGGCAACAGCATCGTCGAGGTCTCCGGCGGTTGCGACAACGGCCGCGCCCGCGTCGGAGACGACAGGGCCCACGAACGCTGCGCCGACGGTCGCGCCGACATCGGCACCGACGATGGGTCTAGCGGCGGCGTCGACGGCCTCGCCGACAGCAGCGTCGGCGAGGCCTCGGTTGTTGCGCCAACAGCTGCGCTGACACCAGCGCCGACGAGGGCTCGGCGGGCTCCGTCGACGGCGCCGGTGTCCTGCATGCGCGGATAATGTTCACATGCGCTCTCCCTCACACGACAGAAACCCCAAGCATTGCAGGTGGTATGATAAGGAAGACTACCATTGGGAATGTCCGAGCTGCAAGAAGAACTACGGCCGGAACAAGCCTGGACATGTATGGATACCTGGCAAATGCAAGTTTGCCAAACCTTGGAAGCTGCCCTACAATCGCGGACAGGCGCCGCCGGCTCCTGCCGAACCAGCAACACCACCACCCGAGGCACAAGCCGCACCACCGTTCGTGCGGCAACGAGCACCAAGACCCGCCAGCTCTAGAGCCGGACCCACAGCGGGCATTACGGTATTATAGTAGGCAGACATGTGGTTGACTGCTGCAGGGCAACCTGCCTTGAGCGGAGCTGGTAGTTCGGATGGCCGCATCCGACTGCCACAGGTCAGAGTCAGACGTGGCCGGCAGCAAGGAGGAGATCCACGTCCACCGCCACCTGCGGGTAACCCTGCTGCACGCCCACTACTTCCAGACTGGTGAAGGTTCGACGTACAAATCAGTCTACAAAACTTACGAAGCCTTGATCCAAGCGTGGTAGCACGCGAGCTGCGGAAGCTACATCGCGTTGGTCCCATGCGAAAGGGCCTAAGACGAGACTCAGTTTAACCGAGATAGGTTTGGACAACGTCAGGCTCAACCTGATCAAATGTGTCTGCGACACATGTCGGGAGTGCAGGGCTTGGGACAAGCCTGGGCATACGGTTATGCCATCTATTGCAGTGCCTTGCAATTCCAACTAAGAAGTTGAATGTGGCCTTCTGTTCTACAAACAAGATTATACTATATGTCATCGCATCTATCGTTGTATTCGCTATGCTGCAATAATGGAGGTACTGGACAAGACAATGACCAGTCTCCTGGCTGCGCACCATCAGTGCTGGACGCGGTTTGGATCAGCAGAGGTACTCTAATCCGATGGAGAGGGCGCCCTCAACAATGACACTGCGACAGCAGTCCTTAAGGCAAAGTGCACTGAAGGACACGTGCACGTGGATTACGCGCTACGACGATCGAAGCCAGAAATGGCATATTGCGCCATCTATTTACTCCATGTCATGGAAGCTGAACTCAGCAGATTCGACATACCTCTTGTGTTCACACGACTACTGCATGAAGCCTTGTTCGTTGCCAGCGCGTTCACTTTCTATAGTGAGGTGCCACCACGCAGCGCCCTGTTTGGGCGGCAACAGGCAATGCTCCCTGACTTGCCTATCCTGGATCGCGAACAGCCGACGGAAACGTCGGATCATTCTCGTGAACAGATGATACGCAAGGTATGCATTGAAGCTGCCGCACAGGCCACTGCAGTAGCCAAGAGACCAATCGCGCATCACGCACTAAGACAACTATCACCGGTCAGCACTACTACGACGAATGAGATGTTGTTGATTACCACCGCCCCACAACCACGAAGGACAACTATGGGAGGCTGGAATGGCCCATTCCCGGTCGTAAGGAACGATCCCGACACTGGTCAAGTCATCATTCGAGTGGGAGGCCGCGACTTCCAGGCGCAATGCGGCGATGCACGGCATTCACTCTACATTGCAGCTTTGGTAGCCAGGGAGATTGGCTCCGACAGCGCTGCACTGCGGACAGCGTTGACGTTTGTGGCCTGTTCGTCTGCGGGGGGGCCTGCCATGACATGCGGCGATGTCCCGACCGAGAAGGGCCCGCTTCAGATGACAAGCGCAAGCCGATCATTTCCTAAGGGGCATCTGGCTCTACGATACCTCATCAGAAACTGCTTCCGCATCGACGATGTAGTTTCGGTTAGGTTAGCCAAAGGTATCCACAAGCTACCTCCGGTGGCTTACGCTGACAGTTCCACGTTGGTCCACTATGACAACAGTGTGAATCCAGGATTTCTGAAGCAGAAGGCACCGCTCTCAACATTCATGATGTAACTGGGTCAGCACATTCAAGAATCATCCAGTGTCTGAAATCCACCAAACCTCAAGCGGGCTTAATCAGGATCTGACAACGTTTGAGGAATTGGTGGATATACCGACACAGGACGGAACCGCAAGAGAACCCCAAGGGCCGAACCGCCGCAGGAGGGCGGACGGCTTTCCACGATATACGAGGAATTGGAGGCGGATCTGCAGGCACATATCATGGAAATGTGGTACACAGAACAGCATGATGAAAGGGAACTGCTGGAGGCAATTCCACTAGAGGGCCTTTTCACAGTACCTGAACATGTGATTCCAGACAACAGTCGCTGGTCACTGTAGCTGAAGAACAGCGGGGGCACTTGCCTCAGTGGGGGCACCCACGCGACTCCGACATCGAGGAGACGTATCATGTCCCTTTGTGTTCCACGGTCGAAGACTGCAGTTACAAACTGGACTCAGACGAAAACGGACAATATGTAGGACCCTGCTTTACGGCAGAAATGTCACCAGTAGTCTTGTCCGAACAGCAGCAAATGACATTCGATGCCGACCGTGTGGCCACCATGCGAGTATATTTCGCCGCCGCTGCAAAGCGAGCTGTGGTCGTCACGGAAGACGACCTCCTCGCGGAGCCTGACATCCAGGCGAATCCCGAGAAAGTATCGAAAGCCCTATACACTGAACTCAAGACATGGTTTGGCAACCAGTGCTTCAAACTGCACGATCTATCTAAAGCGTCAAACATCATGACTTCGAGGTACGTGCATACATGGAAGTTCGCGATGAACGAGAAGGGCGATATGGAACGCGCCATCAGATTACGCCCGGTGGTTCGAGGCTCCATTGACCATGAAGCCTTCGACGTGGAAGCTTTCCCGGGAACGGCGCGGCGGCCAAGCCAAGGACTACTCGCGAGCACGGCAGCGTGCAAGAAGCAATGGATTATTGCTTCCCTCGACATCAACATGGCCTTCTGGAAGGGTTGACCTACCAGGAACTTGCTGGGCAACTGGTGAAAATGAACGTGCGGTGTGCTTTGCTCTGCCGCCTGGGTCGGCTTCGGTGCTTCGAATTTTCCCAGGATTCGAACGCCGCGACGAGTCGAAGCACTGCTTGCAGTGCCTCAAGCCAGGCACTGACACCAAGGACGCACCTCGAGCTTTCTCACTAAAGCTCATCAGGACCACAAGAGGTTTCGGTTTCAGACCCACGTCCTAGGGCGAGGAGTTCGAGACGAGCAGCAGCCTGCTCGCGGCCAGCCACGTCGATGGCATCACTATGGCCGGCGCAGAGGGCACCGCTGAGAAGTGCGTCAAGTGCGTAGAAGATACTTCTGGCAAGTGTAAACTCAACAAGCACACGTGCACCAATTGTGTTGTGGGATATACCGCGGACGAGAACAGAAGTGTTATGATGGTCCCAGACGAATACATCAGACAGCTCCGTCCTATACAACACCCTGAACTTACAGGCGCCGACGCCGACGCCCAAGCATCCAAGATGGTTGCAGACGTGTTCGTCAGCCGCAGAGGCGCCTTGGCGCATGCGTTATTCACCCGGGCATGGTTGATGGCGCACGTTGTCTCTCTACAGCGCGCCCAAGAACCGATCAACATACAAGTGCGACGGCTGAGCGCGAGCACCAGGGCACTGCAGGCCTGCCCTAGGAAGATCGTCTACCAGGCGATGACTCCCACGGGCGAAGTTGACCTGCACAGCGACGCAGGTTATCGACGCCTGAGTGGAGATGCCGATGGCGAAGTCAAAGGCTATGGTATTCGCGGGGCACACCTGCTACGGCGTGGAAGCACGCCATCCGGCAAGCCCGTCGTTCACTTGATCGATGCGTACTGCGAGTCTCACCGCTTGCAGGTCCGCTCGAGCTATTCAGCAGAGACACCAGCAGCGGCCCACGACTTGGAGGACTGCTAGTCCACGATCGTGACACTGCACGAGCTCCACGCAGGGCCGATAACTCCCACTCCGTTGAAAGATGTACTTGAGTTTGGTGGCCTGAGCACCGAGGTCACTTTGACCATATATGTTGAGTATTTTTTTTTTTTTTTTTTTTTTTTTTTTTTTAAAAAAAAAAAAAAAAAAAAAAAGTCCTTGTCAAGCAAAGACTTGAATAAGCCGACTGGGTGTACCTTTTTTTCTGACACATCAGGGTGGATACGACAGATGATGGAGCGAGGAGTCGTGCGCAGCACTCAATGGTGCAACACCCGCGATATGACCGCGGGCGGTCACACCAAGGGGAGCATCGACAGAGAAATGCTCGTACAGGTCATGGGAGGTACGCGGTCCTTCAAACATGATCTAAAGCGTCATGCTCCCTATCGGGTTGGCCAGACATCTCGGTCTGTTGCCGCCTCAGGAGTACTCGCATGCACAGTAAAGTGCAGGCAGCGCAACTTGCGCGCGGGTCCACCTTCCTTATGGCCCCGCTCTTTTGCTGCCCCTTTTGTGCATCGGAGCTGCTGTGCCTGCTGTATAGAGGCGGCGGACTCACGCTTCGTCTCCCTCCCCCCCGACTCGAAAGAGGGCTGCGCGTTGCATGTGAGGGGGAACGAGCGTGCATCCGTGGCTGCTTGGCTCAAAGCGGCCGGCCGCCTAGATCTGATTACACTTCAATGCGAGGTGTGCGATTTGCCATCGATGCCAAAACTGCTTGAAATGGGCCGCCTCCTACTACTGGGATTATCGTTACTACGGTACAACAGAGCTGGAGCTCGGTTTCGCCTAAGGCGAAGCTGCTGGTTGGGCCTCCCAACCCCTTGCAAGCTTCCAGCCCCTGCCCTGACACTGCGAACGGACGAAGGAACGAGGAGGAGGAGTGAATAGCAGCAGCAGGAGGCGGAGGTGGAGGGACGGGAAGGGAAACGTCAGGGAAAGGTCGTCTTGGTGATGCCAGCCACCGGCCTCGCCCCAGCGGAAACTCCCGGGCAAACGCGGATGAGGAACAGGCCCTTGAGGAATGTCGCGGCCGACGGCGCCCCAGACACCTGGCGCTAAGTGCGTGGGCCTTTGGGCCTCTTCCTCTCCTCCCAGGGCTCGGTTCGATCCGTCCGATTGGGTTCGATTCGATTTCGATGGCTTCCGATTCCGATCCCGTGCGACTTCGGAGGCCGATTTGGGTTCGAATTTCTCCATGGAGGCCTGCTGGCCTGCCGATTCCCGCCGGTTCGACTTCTCCTACTCGACTGCCGATATCCGCCGATCTGGTCCATTGCCATCGCCGATCCGGTTTATGGATTCCATGCTGGGCTCTCCTGCCTTCCCGTGGCTGGCTTTCCGGCCCGGGGCGCACGAGGCGGGGGTCAGTGCACACGGGATTCAGTCCCAGTCCGAGCGCCAGATTGTGCAGGATCTTGCACAGCCAGTTCTGTTGCAGGATTTTGCAAGGCCCGACCGGCCCCGGTTTGGATGGATCTGGGTGAGCAGGTCCCCGAGTTTTGCAGACGGCCCCGGGGCCCGATGTCTTGAAAATTTCTGAGCACGGTGTCCGCGGAGGTCTCTGGACTTGTTTCCCAGGGGCTCGCTCTTCAGCCCTTGACGCTCCCGCCCGTGACCCGGCCATGGCCCCCATGAGGCCGACAATCTGGAGAAACCTCCGCCTTGAACTGGAGGTCATGGGGAGCCCCAAGGCTGGCCTCTCCAGATGCTGAACGCTGGCGGCGGAGGCCAGCCGCCGAGGCGCCCGACGTGCTCGGCGTGCGGCTGCGCGTTCGGCGGCTGGGCCGCATCCCGGCCGACCCCCTCCCCCCTCGCCCCTGGAAGGCCAGCCCCAGGAGGCCGCCGACGTGAGGGCGGCGAAGAAGCGAGGCCAGGGCTCCTCCTCCTCTTGCCCCTTCTCCTGCTCCTCCTTCCCCTCCTTGGACTCCTCCTTCCCCGCCTCCTCCTTCGCCTCCTCCCTTTCCCTGCCGTTCCTCCTCCTTCCCGTCCTCCTCCTCTCTTTGTTTTCCCAACAGGGTTCAACCAACCAACCTTCCTTTTCCTTCCTCCTTCTCCTTTCGCTTTTCCTTCCCCTCCTCCTTCTCCTCCCCCTCTCCTCCCCCGTTTCCTTCCCCTCCTCCTTTCCCGTCCACTTGGCAGTCCGTCAGTCGCTGTCGCCGAGGACGCCGACGGCGGCGGCGTCGTCGATCGCCCTCGTCGATGTCGTCGATGTCGCCATCCTCGTTGTTCTCGGCATCGGCGGCGTCGGCAGCCTCGGCGGCGCCAGCCTAGTCAGCACCGCTGTCGTCGGCACTTCCGCCGCCGTTGGCGTCGGCGTCGTCGGTCGTTGTCCCCCTGGGCCGCGCCCCCTCCGGAGGGGTCCACTGTCGGGGGTGTCAGCTTCGGCCTCGTTGCCCCGCGGGGTGGTCCGCCTGCGCTAACGGCCCCTCTCCTCTATTTTGTTTCCTCGGGCCCGAGAGGGGGGAACTGGGGATTGAGAAAGCAAACAGGAATAACCGACCCCCCCAGATGATAATATACCCCCCTCCCCCCTTCACGATTGACAGTTCTTATTCCCGGCCAATACAGATTCGGTCGGGGGAAAGTTGCACATCGAAGTTGTTATCTTGTCATGTTAACTGGCAACATCATCAACGACGTGTGGCATGGCTATGGTGGTCTCACCGTTTCAGCTTTCGCGAGTCACGAAGGTTTGGCAGGGCTATGGGATTCTCATCACTTCAGCTTTCCCAAATCACAAGCGTGTGGCAGGGCTATGGGATTCTTCCCCAACTCACGAACGTGTGGCAGGTCCATGGGATTATCACTTTCACTTTTTCAGCCCCTCCCGAGTCAGGAACGTATGGCGCACGGTTCGTGGTCCCATAGGGCGCTCCACCGAAGGCCTTAGTGGCGGTGCCCGCATGCGTCCGCACCTCTCGTGGGCCCTCAGTTTTGCACAGTCCTCACACAGTTCGTGGCCCCATAGGTACCTCCACGGGACTTCCTGTTCGTCCTCATCCCCCCTGCGCCTTCATCCCCCCTCTTCCCGCAACCGCGCCGCTACGCGGGCGTCGATGAGGACGACTCGTCGGCTGAGAGCGTTGTCTCTGGGAGGGGTTCCCGGTCGTGTCATCGCGCTCTTTGCCTCGCTGATGCTGAGGGGAGCGCGGCGAAAGGAGGGCACATTTGCAAACGCGTCAGTCAGCAGCTTCGACCCTCGAAGAAATTTCGCCATCATCGTCGCGTTATCGGGGTGGCGGCCAGGCCCGCGCGGCGGGCCGTTAAAGGTTAGAGCCGCCGGGCGGTGGTTTTGAAAGCCCGCGTGCTATTGATGGCGGGGAATTGGCGAGGGTTTTACTTGCGTTACGCGTCCGTCGCATTTTGCGTTCCAGGACGCGCCGCCTTGCACTCTCCCCCCCTCTGCTGTTCTGTTTCCCGCCGGTCCGCACCTTGGCCTCCGAGCGCCAAATTCGCGCTGGCCCTCGTGAGGTTGTTGTCTCGGGGAGGGGTTCCCGGCCTTGCCGCCGCGCGCCCTGCCTCGCTGATGCCGTGGGGGTCACCGCAAAAGGATGGCGCATTTGGAACCCGCGCCGCTCAGCAGCCTCGGCCTTCGAAACAATCATTCCCTTGGTTCAGACCTGTCGCGACGCGTTGTGGTTCATCGGCGCGCGCGGGCGCACCCGCGCGCCGAAATCCGCGCAAGGGAGGAAGTGTGCGAGGGAAGGGGGGTAGGCGAGGGCCGGGAGTTCACCCGGTTTTCTTAGCATTCTGCGGGCACATTTAGAGGTGCTGTGATGCGAGATGTCAGGTTGGACGCGTTTACGGACAAACAACTATAACAGTTGGTTGTCGCATTGTCCCCACGTATTCGTCGTGGCTTGGCCCAGAGGCCCGTGCATTTGGCGAGACCAACGACGCCGCTAAATGCAGGCGTCGCGAGACGGATGGGGCTTCTCTGCTGGCTACGGCAGCGCGCTCGTGACGCACCGTGCAATGATGGTCCCCGCAGAACAGTTGTAAATTGTTTCGCGAAAATGCACCCGCGAATGTTCAAAACATGAAAATTCGAAACAACAGCACATACCTTCGCAACAAAAGAAGGACATGTAACGAATCATTCATTTTTGGTGCACCTCCTATTCGTTGGCCAGAAATCGGCCGCGCCGTCAAAAACACCATGTCATCGGATTTTGTCGACGTACACGGTGGGTCCGTTGGGTCCATTCCAATAGCGATGCGAGGACGTCTCGGGGTCGCCGCGAGGACGCCGCAAGGACACGCATCAGCGTGCAAAACGCGAGCGCAACGCTGGGAGCCTCGGGGCCACCGTGGGACCATTTTGGAAGAGATCGATCAAACGAGGGGCCGTTGTACAAGAGGTCCCTTTCCTAGGAGGCCACCGCGTGGCCAACACTTTAGTAAGTGGCGTTCTCGCAGAGGCCTATTGGAGCGTCGTGGGTGCCTCTGGGGGTCCCCTTGGGGCCTCACGGGGGGCCCTTGGGAGCCTCGTGGGGGCCTCCGGGGGGCCTCTTGGGGTCTCCTGGGCACCTCTCGGGGCCGTCTTGGGGCACCCTTGGGAGCCTCGGCTGTCATCTCGGAGGAGATCATACAAAGGAGGTGGTGGTTCCAATGAGCCCCCCTCCCCCTCAGAAGGCCAACGTGTGGTCAAAACCTCAGTCACATCAATCATGTTGGCCTTCTCGCCGAGGCATCTGGGCGGGGCGTCTTGGGTGCCCCTAGGAGCCTCTTGGACTCTTTGGGCCTATTGGGGGTCTCTTGGGTACCTCTTGAAGGCATGTTGGGGGTTTCTTGAGGGTCTCGTTGAGCCTCCTGGGGGCATCTTGGGGCCGTCTCAGGGCACCCTTGGGAACCGCAGGGGCCATTATGGGGCCATCGTGGTCGAGATCGATCAAAGAAGGAGGGTTCCGCAATTGCGCGCCCCAAGGAGGCTCAATGTGGCCAAAACCTCTGTGTACCAGGGAAAAGTTCGGCTTCCTTGCCGATGCAATCCTGGACGCTCCAGCGCCTCGCAGAAAAAGCCCCCCTCCAAACCCTGGCGGAGGGGGGTAGGGGGAGGGGCAAACCCCTCCCCGAAGGGGAAGAGGGAAGATGGAAGAGGAAACTCCCTACATAGCTCGCTCTCTAAAGGGCAGGTGAGATTGACCTCACCTCGTCCTCCTCGTCGCTTTACTCCCCTTCATGGTTTTCCCCATCCGGGTTGCTCCTGGACCCCATCTCGAGTTTATCCAGGCTTACTTGGAGCCTCTGTGACTTTTAGAGGCTCCAAGGTTTCCATGGGTCAGGCGGATTCGAAGGGAGGCATCGCATTTATCTTGCTGCCATTTTGGGTCCTGTTCGAGTTTTCCGGGGTAGTTCCCCTGACGCCCTCAAAGCAGTGCGGCCCATGCTTGTGGACGGGCTGTCCGGGGCTACAGCGTCAACTTTCCAAGACCAGCCCGGGCAAATTTGCTAAGGATCGTAGCTGCGGGGGGCGACAACTCGTGGCCTTGGGAGCCACCAGAGGGCTTTCGGCTTTTGCTGCGCGCTTCCGTGCCCTGATATAGCGGCACCCACCATCAGAACAATATTGACCAGCAAGGTGTGTATCCGCCGCCATCCCCACCCGCCCTGTCTCGAGCACGATGGCCGTTGGCAAGAGGGCCGTCTGGGGCAATTGCCAAAACACGTCACTGGAAAAGCCGGACTTGCCTCGCTTTCGCAGCGCCCTCGTGCGCCTTCGGCCTGTAGCCGTAGACCGTCCGCGCCCTCCAAAACGCGAAGGGCGGCGGGCACCTCTTGAAGGGCACGCGCTTTCGGCCCCGCTGTGGCGTGAGTGGAGACAACATATTTGCGGTAGCGCCTGCTGGACGGCGCGCAGACACAGCTGCCATCTTGTCTTCCGCATGTAATGAGATAGTTATCTATCCCCTGGCGATAACGGGCGTGACCGAGGGGGGGTCGCGTCGCGATTCGCGCCAGCGCCGTCTGGGTATGCTTCGGAATGGTCCATTCCCAGACATCGCTGGTGCGAATCGTGACGTGACCAGGGGGGAGGGGGAGAGGGCGGGGCAGGGCACAGATGATATCAAAGCGTGTTCCACGTGTCAGTTCTGGGCCTGGCCGCATCTCCCCAAGCTTCTTCCTCTTCCCCCAGCCCTCATCCCAGCCTCCCCATCTCCCGCCTTCCATTCTCTCCCCCCCTCCCTTTCTCGCTTGCGATCGACCCTGTCGTAGCGTTCGCTAGCAAGTGGACGCCGGCTGGAGTTGCGGGGGCGCTCGGTCCTCGCAGTGCCGCGCGCGCTGGTTGGAGCCAGGGATGCACTGAGCAGGATCCTTCAGGATCTTGCAGGATCTTGCAAAGCCTGATTGACCCGGGTCTGGATTGACCCGGGCCAGTAGATCCCCGATGGGAGGCCATCGGTGGTCTGAAGCAGGCTATCTTGCTGGCCGCTGTCGGAACGATCTACTCGGTTTCAGAGTCCATTGTCCACGTCGACACGACAGGAACCAGTCGTTGGGTACCATTATGCCGCATGCCTTACTGCGGACTCCGCCTGTCGATCGATCCGGCCAGGGGCCCCGGGCGTCATCGCCCTGAGACCGCGCCGTGACCAGTTGGCTCAGGCTCTCGGGTCCGATCGCGTGCGAGGGGCGGGGTATTGCAAGGGCTCCCGACTTTGCGCACTGCAATGGCGACATCGGAGCTCATGAAGAGGCACCAGGTCGGGGTGCAGACAAGGGGCCCATGGGGGACAGCTCGTTTTCTTTGTCGTTTCGGTCTCCCGTGGCCCCGTCCCCACAGGCACATAGCCATGTAACCTAGTCCCCCAAGACGTTCAACAACAAACAGTCTCGGTGCTTTACACAGTCCCTGGGACCGTCACAGAACGACTCAAAATTCGTTGGCGGCCAAGAGGGGGGTCATAACGGGGGGGGGGGGCAATATCACGGTAGGGGCCATGACATCTCCCCGGATATTATGGCGCTTGTTTCTGAGTTCAATACGCCCCCGGTCCTCCCCCTCGTCCGCGCACATGCCTCGGGCCATGCTTTGCGAGCCCCATCTGGGACGCCCTCCGAAGAAAGACGCACAAGTCCTGGGAAAAGCTCGCAGCTCGGGCTTCGGAGGCCGCTCGGAACGATCCCGACAACCCAGAGCGCCCTCGACGAGGCGAGGCCCCTGGGCTCGTGCGGACGGCCAGGGGGGGGCGGGGGGGGCAATGATCGTGGGGGGAAGTGAGGATTCCATGAGCGGGGCCCTCCAGGGGCCCTTTGTCGGAGGAGGAAAGAAGTACCCACACCGCTACCATTCCCTCGTTTTCCCGTGGCCCTCGTCGCCACCGCTGGATTCGCTTCGAACTTCTGGTCAGAACGCACACCGGAAGACGTCCATGGAGTAAGCAGCGGTATCGCCACGTTTTGGTTCACCATACATGGTTCCGAAACTGCCACCGTGGGCAGGTTTCCGAAGCCTGCCACCGTGCCACCCAAGGTGCACCAGAGACGCACGTTTCTTCACCCCGCGTCTCTTGGCCCCCCTTAGCCAACACCCGAAGGGCCCAGGTCCCTCAGGCTCCATTTCCGCATGCCCAGGGCAAGTGCCCCAAGGGGCACGAGCTGGTCTCCTGGAAGGCTAAGGCGGGGCACTGCGACGGATGTGGTAACATGGTGTTCAAGGACGACCACGTCATGGACTGCAGGGCATGCAACTGGTATCCAGATGCGCTGCCGCGCGAGATCGCCGCCGCGCCGCTGCTCGGAGGAGGATACATGTGCGTACAGATCCATCTTGCTCCACCTCGTTCCTTGCGTACAGATCCACCTCGATCCAGAAAGAGAGGAGAACAATCAGAGGAGGAGGAGGTGGGAAGTGCAGGGGATGAAGGTGGACCAATTGAATTGTTCGATTCCTCCGGGTGGATTTGTTGGTACCTGGGGGATGGGGTCCAGAGATGGTCATGGAAGGCATCACACGGGATTTTTCCCATGAGAAGCAACCAGCATGCGATGATTTGGCCACAACGAGCACATGCTGGGATGGATGCGCGGCGGGTCCCCGCTGTTGCTTTCCAAGAGGCGATCCCAACGAAACGCAGCGAGGGTAGCGACGCACACCAACCGCTGCAAACGCGGTGGCGGACCTGTGCTCGAGGTGCCATCACAGAGAATCAGAAAATCACGCGAGCACGAACTTTGGGAGACGTCCACGCGGCCTCCAACGGCGCCAGACCCACTTCCCGGACTCCTTTCGGGCGTCTCGCAGTGGGGGGGACGATAATTGGGGGGGGCGATCGAGGCTAGCAGGGCACGGGCCTCCAAAGTGGCTCGAATGGGGCCCCCATGGCATTTTTCGTCCCCCTCCCCTCCCCTCTTGCCCCCACGCATTCAGCAACGCCCGAACCCCTAGGGCGCGCGAAGCACGCAGGGGGAGCAGCGCCATCGGCCGCCCCCCAGGGGGTGCACAGAGGGGTCGGCGCTGGAGGAGAGGCCCTGTGGAAAAACAGCCATGCACCTTCGCACGTTCCTGAAATATCCGTCATCGCCGCGCGTTTAAACATAGCCTCCCCTGCAGGCCAGAAGGCGGGAAACATTTTCGGGTCACCTGAGGGCCGCCTGGCCGTTTGGGCCCGTCCTCCTTCCTGCTTCTTTTGCTTCCAGTGTGTTGCATCGCATTGTGTAGCATAGATAGTGCGTTGCGCTTTTTCCCCTGTCCTCTCCGTGGCCTGTGAAGTGATATTTTTGGTCCCCCTTTTCTGGGCCCAAGCACCGGAAATTCCAGGGGGTCCAATGCCAGCAACAGACAGAATGGTAGCATAGGCGGGCTAACGCCTCCCGGGGGAATGCGGTGCGACACCACGCTTGCATGAACCCGGGAGGGGGGGCAATCCAAATTCGGGGCGACACCACGCTTGCATGCGGATTCGCCCCTAGTCCAGCGTATCTCGCGCTGCCAAATTTGGCTCAAGGAAGAGGACACATCGTTCCTCTGCATCGATGGTGGCCTGGGGCCGCCGTACATCCCGTGGAGGCCGAACCCTGGCTTCCATCATAAACTCCTGGGAGCGCCGCCTCGCCGAGACGGCCGACTTCTTCTTGCGGGGCGTCCTCGGGGTCCCGCCCTGGCCCCATTGGGGCCCCTTGTGGCTCCTTCCGGCCTCGCGGGACGAGATGCTAAGCTACCTCACTGTTGTCGCGTTGAGTGCCCCCGAGAGCGACGTTGAGAGCGAGCTGACCGACGAATCGATCGATTAACTTAACTTTCTATCAACAAGCCCCTCCGCGGACGTCAGAAGGCTCCACCAGTCTTGGCGAAAAGAGGCGCGCCCATGCCTGATGGAAAGAGGTGTCCTCAGGCGGCTGCCGCGCCTGAGGACGGGCCTCTCTGGCATTATCTGAACTTGCCTCAGCCGCCGCGGGCCCCGCGCGTACCTGAGGCGTCCAGGGGTGCGCGGCCCCCCTGAGTAGAGGCCCCGACGCCCCTCGTGCAGCCGCCACGATTGAGAGTCCTTCCCTGGGCCCAGTCCTTCGTCCCGAGTTGCCTCCTGCCGGTCCGGGGGCCCGCGGAGGGCTCAGGGGGATCCAACAGTTGCGAGAAGTGCGGAGGCAAACCCGTCCAAGAGGATCAAGAACCTCCAGGGTTGGAACGACTCCTTTCCTCCAGGACCCCTCTCCTGCATGTCAGTGCTCGCCCTGTGTTCTGGCTCTCTGCGTCCGCAGCCCGACACCACGTTCTGGGGCGCCATCACGCAGCATTTCAACGACATCGCCTCCGAGGCTGGGCTCTTCCTCCCAGAGATGTCCTGTGGTGCTCCCTCCAAGGACTCGCTCACCGTGGACGAGATCGACACGAGCGCCAGAGACGAGGTTGGAGGAGGAGGAGGAGGAGGAGGAGGAGGAGGAGGTCATGATAATGATACGTTCCAGGATTTCCAGGGTTCCCAAGAATTCCAAAGGTTCCACACGGACTGCAGGAACGATGGCCGCTAGATACTCCAGGAATCCTGAACCGCACCCTGAGCCAATCCTCTCATGACATCCTCCTCGCCCTATAGTGGAAGCCCATGTCAAAAAACACCCGGCTTGCCTCGAGGGTGCCCTGGGTTTCTTGGTTTTCGATGGTTTTGCTATGGAAAGCGTGACGTTCCCACGCCAAACATCAATGGACGTCTTGGGGTGCCAGGGTTGGGTTGATTGTGGAAGGTTTCTTGTGGTCGAGCTCCCACTGTAGACGTGGAGGAGGGCAGTAGCGGATTGAGTTTCTTTCTTGTTTCTTTTCTCAGGCTTCATGGGGGTCCTCGCCGCCACGGTTGCATTCCACTCGGAGCTTGTTCCCCACCCATGCCTCCAGCGGTGTGGGTTTTCGGTGTGGGGGCCCGAGGGGTCCCAGGAGTCCTGGAGCTCGAAGGCGGCCCCTCGATGCTGAATATCACATACAAGCAGACTCCTTGTAGAGGTTTTCGGGACAGGTCTGGGTCAGGCCAGAGCGCACCCCAGGAGAGACCCGTACTGTGTTTGTGAGGGAGGAAGCCAGCAGGTGGTCTACGACCCTCCCGTGTCCAGAGGCTCTGGCAGCACCTCGGCCAACGCCGGCAACGGTGGCAAGTCTTCCGTGGGCACGGCGCAGAAGTTCTGCACTTCCTGCGGCTATTCGTTTAAGAAAGGTTCCATGCCGCCCAAATGAGGCCCAAATAGGTGCGGTCGGAGGATCGCGCCGCATGGGGGATGCGATGCATTTTCTCCATCCCGACGTCGCCGATGCACTGGTCATGCGGCACGATCCGCCGACCCTCATCTACTCCGGCCTCGTTGGGCGCTCTCCAGGTACTGACAAGTTTTGCCCATCCTGTGGTACACAGCGTTTGCAGGCAGCATCTGATGAAGCGACCCCCACTCCAGAACCGCCAGAGCCAGAGAAGGAGGCGCCGGCGCCGAAGCAGGACCTCCTCAGTCTGGACGAGACTGCGCCAGATTCCGCCAACGCCGCGGCTTCAACGCCAGAGCCAGATGCGACTGCGCCACCACCAAAGCAGGACCTCCTCGATCTAGATGAGCCCGGCGCGGCAGCCAGTGCGGGCCCGGCGATAACGGTGGGGCTAGAGGCTGTGGCGCCCCCGCCAGAGCCAGTTCTACTGAGTATGGATGAGCCTGCGGCGGCAACTCCTAAGGCCGAGTCCGTTCCGCCTGTTGACATGCTGATAGATGTTTCCGCCGCGCAGGCGCCCGCGCCTTCGCACACGCCAGTGGCACCTACTAGCGCCGAGCCAGCTCAGACATCTGACCTTCTCATAGAGTTTCCCGTTGCGGCTGCGCCCGCGCCACTGTCTGCGATCGTGAGCGACCTGGACTCAATGACGTTTGCACCCCCTACAGCTACAGCACCAAGTGCGTTGATGCCAGCAGAAGCACTGGCACCAGCCCAAGCTGCTAATGCAAAAGTCGCGGCGCCCGCCGCGCTTGTCGCCGACGCCAAGGCTGCATCGGTGGCACCCATCCCCGCCCTCTCCCCGCCTCCAGGTGCCAAGCAGCCAGCCCCGGTCGCTGACGATCTTTTTGCCGACTTTTCCGCGGCCCCAGCGCCGCCCATGACCCAAGACTGCGTGCCAACGCTGTCTACCAGCGCCCCTGCGCAAGCCGTTCCAGAGCTGTTGTTCCAGGACACCCCCACAGTGACGGCAGCACCTTCTGCTTCTCTGGCCCCGTTCGGTTACGGCGCTTCCGCTGCAGCAACACCTGCTAGCGCGGGCTTGGCCGCAGCGGCAGTAGCAGAGCCAGATCCATTTGCCGAGCTGCAGCAGTCGGCGGCGGCTCAGCGTGCAACGGTGCCAGCAGTTGGCATGGTCGTGGGCGGTGTGGCCCCGCACGGCCTGGTGGCGGAAGCAGGCTCCTTTGGAGGGTTGCCAACCGCACCCGCGCCCCTGGCAGCACAAGCCATGCCGCCCTACGGCCAGCCAGCCTGGCCTGGCCCCCTGGCTGCAGCGCCATCTGTGGCAGGCACCTCCAGACCGGATCCTTTCGCAGGGATGTCGGGGACACCAGCGCCTGCGCTGCAGATGGCATCAACTCCAGCGCCCGCCTGGTCGATCGCGCCCGCGGCGATGAACCCCCCGATGTCGACCAACGCGGTGCCCTTCACGGCGGAGCCAGGCTCGAGATGCGTATGAAGCGAATCCACATACGCTGCTCATGTCGATTTACCCTTGCGTACTCTTAACATTTAATCGCTTCGCTCATTCCGCCGGCCCATATTGCGCACCGCGGAGGCCTGGCCGAGAGGTCGTCGGCTGTGCGGAGCTGCAGGGAGCGGCGACCCCAAAAACGCCTCAGGACAGCCCAAGAGAGCCCCAAGACGGCCTGAGGTGGGCCTCACAGAGTCTCAGGCTTCCCAGGAGAGGCGCAAGGAAACCACAAGAGGCTCCCAAGAGGGCCCCAAGGAGGGCCTCTTGGGAGCATCTTCGAAGCTTCTTGGGAGCCTCTGTGGGGCCTCGTTGGGCCTCTTGAGGGCCTTTGGGGGGCCTCCGTGGGCCTCTTGAAGGCGTGTTGGCGGCCTCCTGGAGCCTCCTGGGGACCTCTCCGGGCCAAAAGCTCGAAATGTCCGTTCGGGTGTCCCGTCTGTGCTCGCTTTTAGGGCCGTCTTGGAGGCGTCTTGGGCCATCTCGGAGATCTCTGGGACTGTCTTGGGGCCCTCTTGGGCTTCTCTTGGTGGCTTGTTGGGTCGTCTTGGGGCGATCTCGGGGGCCTCGTGGGCACGTTTGGACGCTGTGAACCCCAGACGTCGCACATGCGAAAAATGCACGTGTTCCTTAGGGAATGGGACGATGTTTGTTTGTTGGAGCCCCAATGGAGAGCCTGATGAGGCTCTCTTGGGGCTTCTCGGCGGCCTCGACGGCCGTATGAAGGCCATATTGGGCGTCTTGCTCCGCTCGTTCGGTGACTCGGAGCGTTTTTGGGCTGTCTTGGAGGCCTCTTGGGGCCCTCTTGGCGCGCTCTGGGGGGCCTCAGAGACCGCGCCCAGCAGGAAAACCATCCCTGAGTAGCAGTTGCCAGGCTGCGGTCAGGCGGTGGTCGGGGTACTTTTCGCCGGGGGACCCCCAGGGGCCGCCCCGCGCGCGCGAACTAGAAATATCGTTAACCTGTTACCGAAGATCTTAGCACGCCTCTGGCCCGTTGGGCCGGCGAATTAAGAAGGTAAGGCATGATAGTCGTCGGAGTCCTTCCAGGCCACCGCATACCCGCAGCCCATACAACCTCAGCCCGTGTGTTTTGGTGTGCTCACAGTAACTTGTGCCTATCGCTCGCTGTGCCTGTGTGCGCATATGCCCACTATACCTACGCGCAGCTTGGCTTGCCTTTGGCTGGCTCAGTTCTAGCTTTAGCTTGAAGTTGGACTGCAGGCGCAGGATTTGCCCAAGCACGGCTCTAAGTGTCTCCTGTCCTTGAGTCTCGCCCCGACATCGGCCTTGACATTAGCGTTGGCTTCTGGCTGAGTCTTGATTTGATTTGGTCTTGCGTGGTTGTGCCTGTCCTCGCTTTGCTCAGCTCAGTGAATCCTTTCTAGGTCCTCCGAGCCAGGCCAGCCCACACTCGAAGTCGGGCCCTGCACCTCCGTCCGAGACCAGTCCAGTCCGCTCGTGCCAAGCTCAGCAATGCCAGGCTCGGTCCAGGCGAAGTACATCCCAGACCAAGCCAGTTCAGTTCACTTGTCACAGTTCAACCTAGTCAGACTGTTCCCGATCCAGTCCGCGCCTCCTGACCAATCCAGCCCAGGCTGGCGCGTGCCCCAGTCCAGACCATTCGCAAGTCCTTTCTTTTTCCGTCCAGCCCAGTGCCCACCGGCCCAGCCAAGTCGAAATCAGTCTAGTGCGGGCTTGCCCGGTCCATCCCAGTTCAAGTTCGGTCCAGAAATTGTCCACCCTGATCAACCCGTCCCAATTTTCGGCGAGTCCAGTTCAGCTCAAGTTGAAGTCCATGTCGACTTCCAGTTCCGAGTCCAAAGTCCATGTCCGAGCCTGCGCGCAAGCCACAGCCAAACCAAGCCCAAACTCTGTCCCATGCCAGTCTTTTGCAGTTCGTCCCCAGTGAATGCTCGTGCAGCCCATCCCGAATGCAGTTCAGTCCAGCCGAACCTGCATAGGCCTAGTCCGGTCCATGCCAGTACTGCCCAGTCTGTGCTTGCCTGGGACTTTTCCGCCAAGTCCAGTCCAGCGCTCCAGGATTTTCAAGGGTAGCCCTTCCCATCCATGCCCGTCAATCGCGCCGGAGGGCGGTGAGAGGGGTTGGGATTCGAGTGGCCAGCTGGGGCCCCGCAGGTGAGCCAATCTGATCGAACCTCACCCTGCGTTGCCCGGGCTGGAGAGCTGCCCCTCTTGCAGGGGGGCGCGTCGCGTCAAGGCGAAGATGACTGTGCGTCGTGCTTCGCGCGGCGCGAAGCGCAAATTTGCGTATCCAGAGCTCACGATCTCATATTTCGGGCTAGTGTTTTCGTTGCGGCTATTTTCTAGTGGGGAGCGGTTTGGGGCCAGCTGAAAACAGTCGGCGGTGCGCGGGCAGGGTTGGCGTCAGGGGGCCAGAGGAACAGGAAGCGACACCAGCAGCACCAGCGGGGTCACTCCTGGCAAGGAGGTCAACAGTGCCTCCCCGAGCTGTAGATCTGAGATGTCTCGAGCACGACGCTGCGAAGCAGGGTGACCAGACCACCAGGAGGACCCCCCCAGGCTCTTCGTGCAGATGCTGCTTCCTTGTTCCCACGGGGGGCGTCCTAATCATCGAATGGCCTTCGGCCCATCCCGCCACGGATGGTCGTTGGGATGTCGCGGGAGGCCTCTCGGGAGCCTTGTTGGGGCGCTTTGGGGGGCCTCTTGGGGCGTCTTGGGTGCATATAGGGGGCATCCTCTTGGGGCCCCCTTGCGACTTCCTTGGGGCCTCTGTGGGGCGGAAGACTCGGATTGTCGATTCGTGTTCCACCTCTTGGGTCTTTTTGGGGGCCCTCTTGGGGCTGTATTTGGGCCCTCTTGGGTCCCTCCTGGTGGGGCCGTTTCTGAGCCGTCTTGCGGCCCTCTTGGGGGCCTCTTGGACCGTCTTGGGGCTGTCTTTGGAGAGCGTCGGAAGCTCGAACAGTGGAGAGACCCAACATCACTGAACAACCTCTGGACAATCAATGATTTTGGCCTCTCTGGCCCCACTTGGGAAGGCTCTTGAGGCTTTCTTGGGGCGCCTCGAAGGCTTCTTGGGCCGTGTTTGGTCCAGTGGTGTCCCGATCGTGCTGCGATTCGGGACACCACTGGACCGTCTCCGCGGCCTCTTGGGGCGCTCTTGGCCCGTCTTGAAGCCCCCTTCTCGGGCCCGAAATAGCCACGCGAGAGGACGCGGGGAACCCCGGGGGGCACGCGGGGAGCCCAAGAAGATTTGGCAATGCGGGGTCCGAACCACTGAAGCAAATCCCCTGGATTGAGGACTGAGGCTTCAGGGATTCGGCCGGGGCGCGGTGGCGGCTCCATGATCAAGCATTGCGCACACATGAGCTTTCCGAGTTCCTGGCGGATGTATCGGGTTGTCACCGAAATCTCCTGGCTTGCGTCGCCTTCAGCGCTATTCTTGGCGAGCGGAGCGCGCCATGGGAGGGGGGTGGCAAAGCGCCGACCCAAGAAATTTTGCGCGGACCTCCGAAATTGTGTTCATTCAGTTTGTATGATGTTTCTGTTTTCCTGGCACCTTCCCGTGTCTTAAGGAGGCAGAGGCCTCCGATGTCGGACGACGATTTCTGCGCAAGTACACCGATCCGGGCCAGTCCCATCCTGGCCGCAGGAGGGCGAATGCACGAATCCTGGGCCCAGGATGAACTCCGTCAGAATCCCTGCGCGTGTACAGTCTGTGAGAGGTCCTCCTGCCGCTCAGCCCGCCTCCACCAGCCCAGGCGCCGCCGCAGCGGACTCGCCCCCCGCGGTCTCGGAGGTCCCGAGCCGCGTCGACGAGATAGGTCCCAGTCGTCGCCGTCGCCGTCGTCGTCGCCCTGCCCCTTCTCCTCCGTCTCCACCCCCTCGTTCTCCGCCATCCCCTCCTCCTCCTCCTCCTCCTCCTCCTCCTCCTCCTCCTCCTCCTCCTCGTCATCATCATCATCATCATCATCATCATCATCATCATCATCAGCATCAGCATCAGCATCAGCATCAGCATCATCATCATCAGTATCATTCTCCTTGTCTTCCTCCTCCCCCTCCTCCTTCTCCCCCTCCTCCTCCTCCAACACCTCCTCCTCCCCCTTTGCCATTTTGGCTCAAGTGCGCGGCGGTGCCAGCGGTTGAGTGGGAATCTTCCCTTGAAGGGGCCATCCTGAGGTCAGAATCAGGAGGATACGTTTTTTGTCAGACGCACATGTTGTGCCTTCATCGTGCCATGTCGAAGCCTGGGAAGACGGCGAAGAAGACCGACGCTGGTGACTGGTGACCCCTGTCTATGCGACGCGACCTCCTTCCGCGAGCTGGGAGCTGCGCTGGCCAAGCAGCTCGCCGACCAACGAGAAGTTCTCATGTTCTCATGTCCCAGCTCACCACCACCAGTTCCTTCAACTTCAGAATGGCTGGGATATGTGGACATAGAGGTCATACGAAGACAGCCCAATAGTCGACTAGTGGTGAACTCGATGCCCTATGCGCTGAGCTTGGCGTCCGACGAGTGAGAGAGGTGGGCAGCACAGGCAATCACCGCCAGTGATTTCGGTTCGACTCGACTCCTCCCCACTCGCTCGCGGTCACCTCCCCTCGACAGGGTCGGACAGGAGTTCGAGGCGAGTCTAGCCGTCGCGGCGAGGGTATCTGGGGCCCAGTAGGGGCAACACACGCCACACACACACACACACACACACCAAGACCAAGCACCTCGTGGCGACGAGGGCCCACATTGCCCCGAGAGGGTAGCACACGGTGAGACCCCCATCCTTCATGTCTCCCCTCCCCGCCTGCGGCCTGCGGGCCCCCCTCGTGGCGACGAGGGCCCGCGAGGCCCAGAGAGGGCTACGCACACCCCCGACTGTCTTCCTCCCGCACTTGCCCCCTTCCCCTCGCACGGGCGGCCCTGGTCGCCAAGAGGAAAGCTAAAGCAGAGGCGAGTGCCTCATGGGCGGCTTGATTCGGATCAATATCCCCCTGCTTTTGGTGCTCTCCCTCTCATGGTGCTGTCTATCTGTCTGTGTATCGTCCCCTTGCATGTCCTCTGTTTCGCCTTCCGAGGAGTCTCCCCCTCATTCCCATCTTTTCACTTCTTCCTCCCTTCTTCCTCCTTCCCTCCCTCTCCCTCCTTCCTTCCATCGTCCTTCCTTCGCCCCCCCCCACAGGGGCGGAATTGTTCGCTGCGGCCTCCGCCGCCTTCCAGCTGTCGTCCCTTACAAGAACGGACCCGGCGAAGGACTTCTCGGGCGGACCCACAGCGTAACAAGGTCGCGACCAGTTGTGACACGCTCGCGCCGCGATTGCGGTGGAGGCGCTCTCCTGGCGCGGACGCTCAAGGCGGAATGCCGCTGGTGGCTTGGAATCGGTCGATCTCGGACGATTTGCGATTGCGAAAAGGGTAATGCTTCGGGTGGCGCACAGAGCGTCCCATGTAGTTACAGCAGGCCCCAACAGGCCCCCCCGAGTAGTCTGGGTCGGCCTCAACTCCACAACCCTGGGGCGCGGGGCTCCCCAGGGGCACCGCCGGAGGCGGCGCCGGGGTGTTGAGACCGCCCGGAGCAGTCCACGCGATGCCAGAAACCAATGCGCAAGTCGCCACGGCACGAACTCGCCGTGATCAGCGGTGCCACGGAAGTGCAATCGGGGCGGGCGTTTTCTGGCGTTTTCGGCCTCCGCGGGGCCGCGTCAGGGCCCCAGAATACGCAATCAACCATGTCGGGCACGCGGCGAAAGACTTCCAGGGGATGAGGTCGGCAGTGTTGGAATTCTTGTCGTGAAAGCTGTCGTAAGTCTCAGCCGTTTGCGTTGGCAGATGGTTGCAGTCAATGTCAGTAGCAATGATATTGTGCTTCATCGGGGCTACCCTTGCATCTCTGCTTCTCAGGCCTGTCCTCTTCTTCCCCTCCCACCTCGTCGTCCGCCATCCTCCCCCCTCCTTCCTCCTCTGTCCCCATCCCTCCGCCTCTCTCACTTCCTTCGCACTTCATCTCAAGACCATCCTTACCCAGGGATCCTAGGTTTTTGGGCCCGACGCCGAACAATCGTGTCACGCTCCGCAGTGGACGTCCATGGGTCATGCACCTTTGCCAGGCACCCCCCCTACAGTTCGGGTGCTTGCAAGAGGGGGTCCCTGGCGCGAGGTGCCCACAGCTGTGCGCCCGTTTTGCAACGCCAGGGTTCCTTCGTCGGTGGAAGGAGCGGCGACGCCTCCACCAGGGGGGGGCCACCTCCAGCGAGTTGGTCCACGATGCCCTCCCGACCAGGGGATAGGGGATGCCTCGAGCGAGAGGGGGTACCCACACCACCAGGAGGACCCTCCCTGGCGCCTCGCGCTGGCGGTGGTGGTGTCGCTCTTATCTTGGCCTCGTGGGGGGCGCATGCGGTCACGTCAGGCCGATGCCACCTCTGCCAACAGCCGCGCAGCACTGCTCGCCAGCCGCCGAGAGAGTGCGCCCGACTCAGTTCAGAGCACGCATCGCGAACCGGTTGGCCGAAGCCCAGTTTGCTCCATGATGGCGTGTAGATGTTATGTGTTCATTTGTGTTTTGGGCCGCGTGAGTCGAGCTGTTCATTGTAAGCCTAGGGGGCCCTCATAACCGGCGTTGCGAAGGTGTGGCGTGTGTGAGTTACTATACTACATCCCTGCCCGAGTCGACTCTCTCCTCTTCTCTCTCTCTCTCTCTCTTTTTCAGTCTCTCTCTCTCTCTTTCTCTCCTCAGGGGCCTTTGCAAAAGGCCCTCGGTTTCAGGGCCGTTGCTAATGCGGGTGGTGTCCAGAGGTCGCGTTAACCCCAAAGCTTGGATCCCGTCGTCTGTCGTCCGCCGTCCGTCGTTGTGTCCGTCGTCCGTCGTCCATCGGTGTGTCCGTTGTCGGCGTCGGCGTCGTCGTCGACCATCGTCCGCCGTCCGTCGTCCGTCCTTCCGTCGTCGTCCGTCTTTCCGTCGCCGCCGTCCGTCCGTCCGTCGTTGGCCACCGACGCCCGCCGCCGTGCGCCGTCGTTGTCGTCGTCGTTGACAGGAGGAGCCCGCGCACGCGCCGACCGCGCTGGCCGAGGGTGCCGCGCCAGCCGAGGCCGCGTCGCGCCTGGCGGCGCGGCCAGCCGAGGCGCTGGTTCACCGTCGTTCACCTCTCCTCCCCGTCTCGGTTCCTTTTCCTCCTCCTCCTCCTCGTCCTCGTCCTCCTCGTCCTCCTCCTTCTCCTCCTCCTCCTCCTCTTCATCCTCATCCTCCTTCGTTCTCGTGAGGAGGAGGAGGAGGAGGCGGAGGAGGAGGAGGAGGAGGAGGAGGAGGTGGGGCAGGAGGAGCCGAGCAGGAGGAGAAGGGACACGAAGACCACGGGAAGTAAGGGGGCGTCGCCGTCTCTTAGTTGCGGGCACCAGCGCCTTCGAGGTGTTGCCCTGCCTCCTCCAGGAGGTGCCGCGTGGCAGCTGGAGACGCAGATAATCATGTGGCCTTCGCACGACGATCACCTGGGGGCGGGGCGTGCCGTTTCTTGCCTAGGCTGACGTTGCAAGAGGGAAGATCGGAGAGGTCGCCTTTTGGGCCTGCCGTCGCGCCGTCGCCAGCGGCGGCGGGCAGGCGGTCCGCCCGCTTGTGGGCCCCGCCTCGCGGGTCGGACGTATCGCGGTCCTCCCTCTCCGGCAGCTCTGCAGCCTACGAGACCAGGTTGGCCGCCTTCATGTCTAGGATCAAGGCAACGGAGGCAGGCGAGGCACGGCCCTCCCGTGCCTTAGCTTGGTGGTTGGCCTTTGTGGTTCGGCGGCCACCCGATTCTGAGGCTCGGTCGATCGATGGGTCCCGTGCTGATCATGCGTTTGCAGCGCAGACTTGGGCATTGACAGGCGACGCGCGGCGCGTCCGCAGCACGGCTGTCCAGGCTGCGCATCGCAAGGCGGCGGCCTTGATGCTGGCCGAGCGGTGGTTGGGTGCATTGGTCTGCCTGCGCTGCTCGAGCGACGGCTGGTTTGCGTCTTGCTGGACGCCCCCCGTTCTCCTGAACCCGCTCTTTCTTCGTTTCTCCCTCGACTGGCGCGGATTGCGCGAGTGCGCCGAGTGGCCCCGAGCCAGGGTCAGCTGGCTGTCAGGAGGTGGTAGTTTAGACCGACGTCGGGCAAGAGGGCCAGCTCTGGTGGAATTCGCGTTGGAGATCACTGCGAGGCTGCAGCGTCTTTCTGCTGGTCGATGTTGCGCTTGGGATGCTGTAGCCTTGTCCTGACACTTCCCAGAGTGGCGGGCTCTCCCGTGTCCGGCATCCAACATTTTTCCCACCGTGGCGCTCAGGCTTCGTTCCTGGTTGTGAGGTTGCGCGTGAATTGTTGGATTCCCTTCGTGTGCTCTTGTTCATTGCTTTGGACGACGGCCTTAACGTGAGGTTGGGTTCATCCCAGGTCTGCGATGCGGGCTCAGGAATCGCGATTGAGATTTTCAAGCTTAAGAGAAGTCGGTCTTGCGTTGTCCTCCTCCTTTCGTCGTCCTGCTTTTCTTCCTCCTCTCTCTTGCGACGTCGGACTCGTCGGAGTCTTCGGTCCCCCCGTGGCCGCAACAGGATGTCGCCTGGTCGACGACGTTCTCGTCCTGGCCCTCGTGCTGCGTTTCGCCACTATGGGATATGGCTCGTCGACGATGGTGACGGCCTCGTCGGTTAGGCGAACATCAGCGTGTTTGATGGGCTTTCTGTCGTGACTTCATGGGCCTCATCCTTATGAGCTGTTTGTGTCGTACGTAATGCATATGTTGTAGGCAATGTTCCACATTTCCTTGCCGTCCAGTGACCCGCTGCCTTCCATGCTGGTTGGCGACCCCGTTGGAGACAACGGCGTGCGTGTCGAACATCAGATTGATGAATGCAGTCGGGCTGAACACAGGGAATCGAAGGAGAAGTTGGAAAAGTCCAGGTGTTGATCACGGTTGCGGTTGTCAATGTAGACCGCGCAGTAGTTGTTCTGGTTGGCCCGTGGGTTTTGCGTGGCAAGTGGAATCCAGCCTGCTCATTGATCCGAAGAGAAACATGGACCACCGCCACCGGGAATCCATCGGGGGGCAGCCGACCCGTCGGCGGTGGCACGCCCGAGTGCCACTTAGTATAGGGCGAAGCTCAGCCGTGCCACCGCCCAGGGGTCGGCGCCCCCCCGAAAATTCTTGGTGGTGGTGGCCGTCGTTTGGTCTTTGCAATGAGGTCGTCGCACTCGACGCCCTCATGGTTGTAGTCGGTCCCCCGGCAATCCAGGGCGGTCGTGGTTGACGCAGCGGTGTTCCTGACCAGTGACCTGGCCTGATCGGTGTGCGGTCGCCATGGCCTGGTGGAAGGATCCACCGCCAGAATCTGTTCATATCCACAGTTTCGGAGTCGTGCCCTGGGATTTCGATATAGATATGGATTTCTGCCCTCATGTACGGGCGTGCATCCACCGTTGCCCCAGTCCCCAGGAAACGACCCCGCGGCAGTAGATATGGACATAGTTTGACGGCGCCAGGAAGTCACTGCCGACAGCCCCGTCTGTGGAGGACTAGCTGGCAAGGCTTGTCCATTTCGCATTTGTGCGGGTGGTTTTTGCCGCTGCGGGCGCTCCTGTGCCGAGCGACTGGTTCTCGGAGTGTTGTCTCCGCCCTGTCTTCGAGGTGGGTCCTGGTAGGGTGGGTGCGCCACGGCGGGGTGGTAGCTCGTGCGGGGTGTGATGAAGGTATCGAAGTGGGCGGCGGCGCCTTGTGACGGAGGGCTGCTTGCACCAGGGGTCTTTGCCTAGTCTCGATTATGTTCCGGACGTGTGTTAGCTCAACGCCTGTTTGTTCCATCAAGCTTCACCGTTCGCACGCAGCCTGTGTCTTTTTCCCAACCCTCCTGCGTTGGGTACTCGTTTTGAATAGAGCACTGCGGTCTCCTTCCCGCCTCCTCCTCCTCTCTTCCCTCTTCCTCTCCTCTCTTGCTTCCCTTCTCCGCCTCTCTTCGCTCCTCCTCTTCTCTCTTGCATCCCTTCTCCTCTCTTCGCTCCTCCTCTCTTGCTTCCCTTCTCCTCCTCTCTTCGCTCCTCCTCTTCTCTCTTGCCTTTTACGTCATCCCTTTGGGGCTGCGATCTGTGAAACTGTCGCCACTTTCGAGGGCTGCTGGTGGGTCCAGCGGAGTGAGGCACCACGCAGATTCAGATTAGACCTCGCCATCCCTGGGGGGCTGCGATCTGCGAAACTGTCACCACTTTCGAGGGCTGCTGGTGGGTCCAGCGGAGTGAGGCACCACGCAGATTCAGATTAGACCTCGCCATCCCTGGGGGGCTGCGATCTGCGAAACTGTCGTCACTTTCGAGGGCTGCTGGTGGGTCCAGCGGAGTGAGGCACCACGCAGATTCAGATTAGACCTCGACTTTCGAGGGCTGCTGGTGGGTCCAGCGGAGTGAGGCACCACGCAGATTCAGATTAGACCTCGCCGTCCCTGGGGGGCTGCGATCTGCGAAACTGTGGTCACATTCGAGGGCTGCTGGTGGGTCCAGCGGAGTGAGGCACCACGCAGATTCAGATTAGACCTCGCCATCCCTGGGGGGTGCGATCTGCGAAACTGTGGTCACATTCGAGGGCTGCTGGTGGGTCCAGCGGAGTGAGGCACCACGCAGATTCAGATTAGACCTCGCCATCCCTGGGGGGCTGCGATCTGCGACACTGACGCCACATTCGAGGGCTGCTGGTGGGTCCAGCGGAGTGAGGCACCATGCAGATTCAGATTAGACCTCGCCATCCTTGGGGGGCTGCGATCTGCGAAACTGTCGCCACATTCGAGGGCTGCTGTGGGGCCCACGAAACTGTCGCCACTTTCGAGACCTGCTGCGGGGTCCAGCATAGTGACGTCCTACGCGGACGCAGATTGGACCCGTCATTCTACTTTGATTATCCCGCATCTGCGATCGACTGTATGTGTGCGAGGAACTAGACATGGAGTGGTCTGGCACTGACTGACGTCAAATCGTTGTGTGCCAGTGTCTCCTGGGGTGTTGCCTGATGTGGATGCAGCTCGTCGGCGCTGCGACTCGAGCTGGCGGTCGTCCTTCGGACCCGCAGAAACATCTGCTGAGCTCGATGAGCTAGGGGAACTACAGGAAAGAAGTGCAGGAAACGGAGGCCGGTCATGCACTCGCCGATACCTCGTTGCTCTGTCATCGTCTTTGCTGTTGCATGATCCTTATCTGGCCTGCCGGCGCCGCGGCTCGAGCTGGCGGTCGCCCTTCGGGCCCGCGGGAACATCTTCTGAGACAAGTGGACGCCGCCGCCTTACTTGCAGGCAGCGCATTGCATTCGCGGACAGCAGCATGGCAGACCGCAGTGAGATCCTCAGTCGCGTGGTGTTGCCAAGCCTGGTGGAGACGCGCGTGATCGACCTGAAGTCCCAATCGCGCGTGCACTGTACCTGCGTGGCGTTCAGGCACGCGCGTGATGCTGCTCGCTCCGCGTTCAACCAGTACGTCGCCAGTGCAATTTTGGACGATGGACAACCGATTGATGATGCGCGACCCCGGCCTTGAGTTTCTTTCCCGCGGGCCGCCCGCAGACCTGGCGGCGCGCCTGCGAGCGTTCAGCTCCCGCGCTGAAATGTGCGGGAAGGAGGCGGAGAAGCTAGCGGGCGAGCTACGCCTCGCTCGTTCCTTGTGGAACTCTGCGACGACATGGCGCAGGCAGCGCTGCGGGTTTAGCTCGCGCTTGAAAAACGCGGCAGTCTTCTGTCTCCTCCCGCCACTTTCATCGTCGTCCTATTCCCCGCCTCACCTTCTCCATGCATGCTGCCATGGCCTTTCGCTCCACCCCTCGTTCCCGTGCCCGTTCTTCTTCGATCCTGGGGCCTCAATCCTCGTTATTTCGATCGTCGTCCTGTGAATCGTGCAACGCATGCGCATCCCATGTAGCTTGCGCAGCAAATCGCCGCGTCTACACTGTCGTTGTTCCTGCTAATGTTGGCATATTCCTCTTGCCATTTGATGCACGTGGGCTGGGTACGTCGCAGGGTAATTTAATTGCGCTGCTTGCGTTGTACTGAATGGTTTTGACGCAAACCGTCGTCATAGCCGCTATTCTCTTTGTCAGTCCTGAAGGGTGCAGTCGCAGCTCTGGACTGGGTCTTCTCGATGG